TGCAGTTTTACCCAAAATCTAGTAAAAATAGTATGATGCATTTCATGATAACAGTGTACACCATTGCTTGAGAAATAAAAAGCAGATCATTTCGATACCAAGTAAAATTATCTAGAAGATATTAAAGCAGCTACATTCATACACCTGGATATAAGCTTAATGCTGTAAAGTTGCTTTGACACAATCTGTATTTTTAAAAGCGCCATATAAATAAAGGTGACTTGACTAGGCTAATATAATAGGGGAACATATATACAACACATGCATATACTAGATACATTTATAACCACTTATTATGGCCTAAATAAAGATAATGTCTTTATGTGTGTGCGTTATGTGTATGTGAGCATGGGGGGAGTTCGCTGGCCACCAGGCATTTGGTTCCTGGTACCGAGTGTGACTTTCTTCTCATTGGATTGGTTTGCAAATGTCAAAAGGATAAAAGGGACTCTAAGGCCCAATCCCAATTCTACCGCTTAGCCCTTCCCCTACCCCTCCGTTTCGCGCGTTCACGTGAAGGGGTAGGGGTGTCTCAATTCTCTTTTGGTTGGAGGGGTAGGGGTAAGGGGAAGGGCTAGATAGCCCTTCAAACAAAGATTTTTCGGGACCACACTTCAAATGAAGGGGTATGAATGATCTCAGCGTAAACCGTCTTCAGCAGCAACATGGCTGCCCGAGCAAACAAAAAGACACATAAATGTAAGCATTTTTGGCATTAATAAAGATTTTAATGAAAAGTAATCATTTGTTTTATGTCACATTCAATCGTGAGTTCATATTTACGGTCATGTTACTCAAAGAAATGTTTGCAAAAAAAATCGCTAATATTTGCTAACTAACGTCATATCATATAGACTGCACCATAGTGCCACAACATATTTTCATGTCTGATCAGGGCGATAACCACCGTAGAGGGGCTAGTCTCCCCAATAATTATAAATTGCTAAACCCTTTTCTCAAATATTGCCAATTCGAGAGAGAGAGAGAGAGAGAGAGATGAAAGTTGCGTGTATGCGCGTCTGTGCGTTTCTCTTTTTAGAGTGAGTTTACTTAAAAAACAGCGATTTTATCCTCTTATTGCTGGAAAATATAATGTATCGATTCAGTATTTAAACTGTTATTAATAAAAGTCCTGGGGCAGTCGTTTCTGACAAGTTTCTTTTCTCCTGGATCTGTGAGCTGTGCGATCTCCGATATATATGTGTGTGTGTGTGTGTCAGTAAGCGACGCATTAATATAGAACGGCAATTAAAGGCTCTAATGCACACCAGTATGTGTGTGTAATGTAGGAGCTAGATGACGTATGATGACGTGACGTATAGTAGTGGTGTCCCAATTCTTAGGGGAATATTTTCACCCCTACCCCTTGACACTCTGTTACAAAATAGAATTGGGATTGGGCCTAAGACATAAAGGCAAAATGATCATCAATGATCTTAAGCAGATGCTACAGCTACTTGCTATATAGAAATCAATTGTATCAATAAATGGAACAAGACTTGACTGCAGTGCTGAATAAAATCAACATCACAATGATCAGATGCTACCACAAATACTGTTTATTTTGTTATTGAAAGTAAATACATATTCATCTAAGTGCCACTTGAGATGTGCTGAGCCTGCTGCTCAGGTATTTTGAACTTTTTAACCCTTAAGCAAAGAACAAGTTCATAACTAATAAGGCTTCTCTCCAGTGTGAATTTTCATGTGGTCTTTTAAGGTTTGATGTTGAGTGAAACTTTTCCCACGCTGTTGGCAGGTGTAAGGCTTTTTCTCCTGTTTGAATTCTCATGTGCCTGTTAAGGAGTCCTTTATGATTGAAAACTTGTCCACACTGTTGGCATCTGAAGGGACTCTTTTAAGTGTGAACTCTCATGTGGGCTTTAAGGTTTCCAAGTTGAGCAAAACTCTTTCCACACTGTTTGCATGTGTAAGGCTTCTCTCCAGTGTGAACTCTCATGTGCCTGTCAACACTTTCTTTGCGAGTGAAACATTTTCCACACTGTTGGCAGGTGAAAGGGCTCTCTCCAGTGTGAATTATCATGTGGGCATTAAGGTTTCTATGATGAGCAAAACTCTTTCCACACTCAGGGCAGGTGTAATGCTTTTCTCCAGTGTGAACAGTCATGTGCCAGTTAAGGCTTCCTTTTTGATAGAAACTCTTTCCACACTGTTTGCATGTGTAAGGCTTCTCTCCAGTGTGAATTCTCATGTGGACGTTAAAGCTTCCTTTCTGAGTGAAACGGTTTCCACATTGTTGGCAGGTGAAGGGACTCTCTCCATTGTGTATTGTCATGTGGGCTTTAAGGTTTACACGCTGAGCAAAACTCTTTCCACACTGTTGGCATGTGTAAGGGTTCTCTCCATTGTGGACTCTCATGTGGACTTTAAGGTTTCCAAGTTGAGCAAAACTCTCACCACAACGAAGGCATGTGTAAGGGTTCTCTTCAGTGTGGACTCTCATGTGGACCTTAAGGTTTACACGCTGAGCAAAACTCTCACCACACTGCTGACATGTGTAAGGCTTTTCTCTGGTGTGAATTCTCACGTGCTTGTTAAGGCTTACTTTATGCTTGAAACTTTGTCCACACTGTTGGCATGTGTACGACTTTTCTCCTTTGTGAATACTTATATGCATGTCAAGATTTACTTTACGAGTGAAACTCTTTCCACACTGTTGGCAGGTGTAAGGCTTCTCTCCAGTGTGAACTCTCATGTGGACGTTAAGGTTTCCATAATGAGCAAAACTCTTTCCACACTCAGGGCAGGTGTAATGCTTTACTCCAGTGTGAACAGTCATGTGCAAGTTAAGACTTCCTTTTTGAGAGAAACTCTTTCCACACTGTTGGCAGGTGTAAGGCTTCTCCCCAGTGTGAACTCTCATGTGGACGTTAAAGCTTCCTTTATGAGCAAAACTTTTTCCACATTGTTGGCAGGTGAAGGGACTCTCTCTATTGTGTATTGTCATGTGGGCTTCAAGGTTTACAAGTTGAGCAAAACTCTCACCACACAGCTGACATGTGTAAGGGTTCTCTCCATTGTGGACTCTCATGTGCCTGTTAAGGCTGATTATATGATTGAAACTTTGTCCACACTGTTGGCAGGTAAAAGGGCTCTCCCCAGTGTGAATCCTCATGTGGGCTTTAAGGTTTATATGTTGATGGAAACTCTTTCCACACTCAGGGCATGTGTAAGGCTTCACTCCAGCGTGAATTCTCATGTGCGTGTTAAGACTTCCTTTTTGAGTGAAACTTTTTCCACACTGTTGGCAGGTGTACGACTTCTCTCCAGTGTGAATTCTTATATGCACGTCAAGACTTACTTTACGAGTGAAACTTTTTCCACAGTGTTGGCAGGTGAAAGGGTTCTCTCCAGTGTGGACTTTAAGGTTTCCTTGTTGATTGAAAGTGAAATAACTTCTTTGAGCTGTTTTTCGTGTGGAAGTCTTTTCAGTCTGCGAACGTCTAAAAGATTTTTCTCCAGTTGTGAAATCATGAAGATTCCCATATTGATCTTTCTCTTCAATTTCACTCAGTACTTCTTTCTCTTTCATTGCGATTAGGTCTAAGGTGAAAAAAAACAAAAACAAATAAAAGTTATCCCAAGTTTAATGGCACAATACAACAGACATCAAATCTTTAAGGTATGTAAAACATCAAAACCAACAACATGTATGCTAGACCCTGTACCAGAAATGTCCAAACCTGCTCTGGAGGCCACTGTCCTACTTGCGCCAAAACACCTGCTGGAAGTTCCAACTCTGGCCCTTGAAACTCCCTTTCCTTCAGAGTTTAGCTCAAACCCTAATCAAACACACCTGTACATACTAATCAAAGTCTTCTGTATTATTTGAAAGTTAAAGGCAGGTGAGTTTCATCAAGGTTCCAGAAAAGGGGACCTTGAGGGCCAGAGTTGAGAAACGCTGCTCTTCACAATATTACTTACTTTCTTTAGGTCTTTTAGCTGGCAGTTAAACCCTTTATTAAAAAAGCACAGTTTGACCCAGGAGATATAGTTAATTATAAACTTATCTCAATTAGCGATGCTAATAATTAATCACTGATCAGTTAATTGACAAAAATAATAATTCAAAGAAACTGAAACTGTTTGTAAATTGTCATAAAAGTGAACACTTATATTAGATGTTGTGCTGGGGGAAAGCTAAACTGAATTACCGGTGTGTGTGAAATGTCTAGGCCACACATGAAACTGAATGTTTATATTAAAAAAATATTAATAATTAATTCCTATGACTTTAATTTGCGGCCACGGCTCATGTTACATTTATTTCTTCTCTCTTTAAAGTAAAACTAAGCATCAAATTAGTACAACGTGTCCATGCCTTAATTTATTTATTTGTTCGCTCATTTTAGTTGTGTTATTAATATTGTTAAAATGTGGAAATTCGAGAGATCGAGCCGCAAAACAGAACACAAAGTCGCATATGACTTAATCAAATTTGCACGAGAATGAATCTTATTGGTTCTTGTGAACCTCAAACATGCTGCGTAACACACAAGAATGAATCCTGTTGGTTCTCGCACATTTCCTTCAAATTCTATCCTTCAAATACAATTGTATTTATCATAATATTGGGAAGACCATGAAACTGGTTATCATTAGTCTACTGTCTGTCTGCACAAGACATCTACAGCACAGCTGCGTGCAGCAAAGGTTGTACAGTAGGGCTGCTCGATTATGGAAAAATCATAATCACGATTATTTTGGTCATTATTGAAATTTAGATTATTTTAAACGATTATTCATTGACTTTGGAAATATGTTGCATTTATTGAACAGTGAATTCTCCTTAAAACAAATATAAAATATATTCAAATGTATAAACAGCATATACAATAAAGGCAAATAAGATCAACAATGTAGTGCACTTCCACAATCTCTTAAAAACAAGTAATAAATACAATACAAATATTAGATCAAATAATAAATTAGACCAAAATAAGTTTGCTCACATATGTGCCTTGAACTAACTGAGAAGTTTTAAACAACATTTTACAGCATTCTACATTTTAAACAATCACATTCCAGTCAGTAACTCGTCTCAGTCCAATAATATTTTAAGGCTGGCCCACCATGGCTTAGAACTAACAGAAAATAAGTTTAACTTCAACTTTAGACTAAGTAAATATGTTTCAGGCCAACGTGGCCAAAATGCTGATAGGGTTACACATCTAAGCCTTAAAGGTTTTTAGCCAGAAACACCAGCCTATTCACATGATCTGGTTTCAGTGATGAACGCAAGCAGGAGACAATATTTCCACCAGTGCTAAAGACTTGCTCTGATGAAGAACTTGTGGCTGGAATACAAAGATATTTCCTTGCCAGGTTGGAAAGCCGTGGGTAGATCCTCTGAGATTCCCTCCACCACTTCAGTGGGTCTTCCTCAGCATCCAGTGTCTCTGTCTGCAGGTACGACTGTAGCTCAACAGTTATGGCCTGGTCCTGTTGCAGAGGAGGTCCAGCAGCTTTGTCTGTGGTGACTTTGAAGAACTGCCCAGGCCCTTCTTCTTCTTCTTCTTCTTCTTCTTCATTGGAGCAGTAGCAGCATCCTCTGTCTCAAGAGGGACGTTCTCCTTGGAGGGAACATATTACAAGAAAAACAAGAATTGAGGTTGTGGTATTAAATGTTAAAATTATTTTGTCAACACATTAATCCACTTAACTTTTCATTATTATTATTATTATTATTATTATTACCACCATGTCAGTCATCACACTCTTCATCTCTGCTGTCAGTCTGTCTTCAATAGACCCTCGGTTGCCTTTGTTGACATATTTAAGCTTGAACCTTGGGTCCAGGGCAGAGGCCATGTCGAGTAACTCTTGTGTTGCTGTATTTGTCAATGAGGTATTTCTGTTTGATGCTTTTGGCAAGGTCTGTGTCATCGTCCTGCACTTCCAATATTGAATTTCTAAAGAGGTGGAAGGTTGGTTTCAGAAAAGACACACTTATGTATTTCTCTCCAGAAAGTGCGTCACTGAATTCAACAAGGGGGCTAAGAGACTTATTGATGGCCTCCAGTACGTCAATGTCCTGCCAAGAGAGGGTGAGATGTCTGAGTTTTCAGTCGCTAGAAAGGACCTGGGCAATGGCCTTATGCTGCTCAAGGACTCTGTCTAACATGGCCTGCCTAGATCCCCATCTGGTTGGGCATTCTGTTTTAAGGGAGTCTTCAGCTGCTTTTGTGCCTCTGCAAGTTCCCTCTTTTTTTTCCAACTTCTTGCAGACCCCCATTACACGGTCGATCCTAGGATCCTTCATTGCGTTCTCTAAGATTACAATAAATACTATTTAGTCAACTATATGATCATTGCCACCCTCATCAAAGCAACATTTGTTAAGACGGAGTAAGAAGGCATCAAAGAGTAGTTCAAGTGGTAATAATAATAATAATAATAATAGTAAAAGGTTAGTGTGATAGTACAATTAAATCACCACATTACATATAATCTGTATGAAGGTTTCCTACTTACCTATGGCCAAGTGGAGTCTGTGCCCGAAACACTGAAGCCTCATCCATCCATTTACCTCAGCTGCCGGCTTTATGTTGTGATGCAGGTGAGATTTTCCTTGTTTAAACCCCATGCAGCCATAGCTTCCCTGAGTCCATGGGCTATGTTTTGCCCGGTATGGTCTTCAGGAATAAACGCAGTTTGGAGACATTTCGTATTCAAATTGAAATTGGTGCCGATGAAGTGTATTGTTAAGCTAATGTATGGCTCCATTGTACGGCTAGACCATAGGTCTGTTGTGGTGACGAAGTACTCTGCTTTTGACACTTCATTAAATGAAAAATGCTGTGCAGAAGTGGCTAAAGCAGGCAGTGCAACTCTCGTGAAATGGTGTCGAGATGGCAAAGCATAACACTTGTCCAGAGTTTTTATCATTTTTTGGAATCCTTCGTTCTCAACCGTGCTAATGGGGCACATGTCTTTGGCTAAGTATGCAACGGCATCTGTTATTTTTTGTGCTTTTCTGAGCTGGATGGATAAGGAGTTGCACTGAAGAGTCAGTCTTTAATGGATGACTGTGTTGTGGAGGACGTCGTGGGGGTTGTTCGTTGTTCTTTCTGTTTCTTTATTATTAGTTGGTCATATGTCGGTCTGTGTTTAAATTTTAGATGGTTAAAAAGATTTGTGGTGTTACCAAGCGGTGCTGACACCACCGCGTAGCAAATCTTGCACTTAATATGTTTTTGATCCACGTCCGCTTCTTCGAATCCAAACTGTTCCCAAACAACGGAATTGCTTTTACCTCTTTTGTTGACCAAAGATTTCTGTGGCTGCTCTCGTTCTGCCATCTTCACTCGCGCTGATTTGTAAATGCGACCAGATACCACATACGCGACTTGTTTCGCCGACAGTATAGGCTGAGAGAGTTCGAGCTTCGGGAGGGGCGAAAGTGCGGATGCGCGTTATTAGGAACGCAGGCCAAAATAACTAGAAAAACTGAATAAAAGTTTTTTTCTCGATTACACAATTTTTGTGATCGTTGAGACCCAAAATCGAAATTGAAATTCGATTAATTGCACAGCCCTATTGTACAGTACTGTGTACTTCTTATACAGTAGTGTGTGAGCTTCTTATTCAAACCAATCAATGGACCATTCCGTCACCGAGCGAGTCCTTCAGCGTCTGTCATTACAACATCTATGTTGCTAAGCCATCTGCTTAGAGTCAAGAGCGCATCATTGATAATTATTCGCATGAAAATATTTCCTCAGAACATAAATTCTGCTTTTGTAATTATCAGCGTACGCACTGTCTAGTGTTTGTTCGGTGTGCACATATTTATGCCCATTTTATTTTTAATAATTCCTGATAAGCCCATTTTGTGCATGCACAACTTTTATTCATCAGGCCCCAGGAGAAGAAACCCCCATCCTAGATCAACTTATGATGCTACATTTACACCTGAGCTTGACAGAAGATCACGACAGATGTTTTCTTCAGTTTGAGACTTTGATTTGAACTGCTTGTCAATCACAAACATTCAAACCGTTTGATTAAAAATAAGTTTGTTATAAAGTTAGTTTTATTTGCCTGTCAGGTGATCTCAACATGTCTGTCCACATGGGTCGACTCGCTCTATGTCACTTTAATTAGGACACTCGTATAAATATCATTCATCTCAGAGCGAAACCAACCTGTTTGTTCCTCGGTGGTGTCTTGTTTCAGACTGAACACTTCTTCAATCCTGAAGTCTTCAGTCTCCTCTTTAATAAACGCCATCTTTATAAGTGTGTGCCGAGGCTCTCAGTCGCTTCAGCGGGAGTTTCTCTGTATTTGGACACTCTGTCCTGATTAAGATGAGAAGAACTGAAAGAAAAATGAACTGAATCTCTGGGTGCGTCTCAATCAGTGCTCTTTAGTTCAGTAGTCAGCGCACTAGTGAGGGAGTCCCAAGTGAGAGGCACCTGATTAGACAAAAACACTCAAAACTAGCACTGCAACATTTATAAAATAACAATTTATAATGAAAGTTATTTTTTTTGTATCTAATGATTTGTTGACCACATGTATCAAAATAAAAACTTAAACCAATAGAAAATGTTTTCATTAAACACGTTTGTGTCGAATTAAAGTGTTTTGACCAGCAGGTGACGTCTGCGAAGCATTTTGTTCAATTGACTCGGAGTTTAAACATCTCAAGTTTCTCCATCACTGAATTCATGTTTATAAATGAGATGCTACTTTTGTGTTACTCATGTGTGGATGTGCTTATTTACTCACAAAATTACGTTAATATATTTTAGATAAGGCATTAATATATTACAGTCAATAATAAACAATTTTCCATCGCATGCAAACCTTTCGAGTTGATTGTACGGTGTTTAAAGATGCTTTAAACACAAACCCTTCTTCAGTCGAATCACAACAGATGCAGGAGCGCGGCGCACACTTATGACATCACATCACCACGCCAAAATAAAAGTCCTGGTCACATGCTGCTGTCTAAAAACATTTACATAGAACATGATATACAAACAATTAAAGAGTTGGCAGAAATTCAGAGTTTAATGTATTTGTGAAAAAAAATTAAATGTATGTTGTTCAATTATGTGCTGAAACTATTAGGAAATTACTGTGAGAAAAACATTTTATACCAGATATAAATTAGATTAAAATATAAATGTGAATTAAAAATGTTCTAAAGTAATGAGTGTATGAGTTCATAAAGCAGAGGTCATAAAATGTGGAAAAGTTCATTTGAGTCTAAAAATAGGTATAAAAATGTCTAAATTATGATTGATGAGATTTATTTATAATCTTTCAACAGTTATTTACATTATTTGGGTCACTTTTTCAATATTAAAGCCATAAACTGATGATAAATGATTTGATATGAATTATATCCAGAAGCAACAGAAAAACGCTTATGTTTCAGGGTTGAAGCTAAACTCTGTTAAGTCTCTACACACTCAAACATCATATACTTTTATATTTTGTGTTACACCTACAATAAAGCAGGACCTTGTTTTGTAATATAGTACACTAAAAAGACATTTGAAGAGTGTTTAACTAACTCTGTACTTATGTACGACGGCGTTTTAGTGCTACTTTAAAAAAAAAAATCTAAGATTACGAGAATAAAGTCAAAATATTATGAAAATAAAGTCTAAGTGTTTCGAGAATAAAGTCGAAACAGCCTGCTACAAGAATAAAGTCGAAATATTACAAGAATAAAGTCGAAATATCTCGAGAATAAAGTCAAAATAGTGTGCTACAAGAATAAAATCGAAATATCTCGAGAATAAAGTCGAAATAGCGTGCTACAAGAATAAAGTCGAAATATTACAAGAATAAAGTCGAAATATCTCGAGAATAAAGTCGAAATGTTATGAAAAGTCCAAATATTATGAAAATAAAGTCCAAATGTTTCAAGAATAAAGTCGATATAGCGTGCTACAAGAATAAAGTCGAAATATCTCGAGAATAAAGTCGAAATATCTCGAGAATAAAGTCGAAATATCTCGAGAATAAAGTCGAAATATCTCGAGAATAAAGTCGAAATATCTCGAGAATAAAGTCGAAATATCTCGAGAATAAAGTCGAAATATCTCGAGAATAAAGTCGAAATATCTCGAGAATAAAGTCGAAATATCTCGAGAATAAAGTCGAAATATCTCGAGAATAAAGTCGAAATATCTCGAGAATAAAGTCGAAATACAAACAATATATAAAACAATGTGGCGTGACAGATCGCTGTATTCGCTTCAGTTTAAGCGGCATGTGAGTTACAATAATGAGACATTTTCATTATAAATTAAGCTATACTGTTTTTTCATGATGTTCCTTCACTTTTATATCTTGCTATAATCATTTGTATTTTGTGATGAAACTGACATAATTAGAAAGCTGAGCTGTGTTATATTAAAAGCAACAAAGCACAAAATTGTGATTACTGGGTGGCTGGCATGCTACAAATAATGAATGGAAGACGTTAAATATTATGTCCAATCATTTACTGTATTATACCATGAATAAAACCGCTTGTGAATAATCACTTACATGTGTTACGTATTTTATTTGTTCTATGCGCTTTGTGGTGGTTTGTTGTTTTCTTGTCTACTGCTACCGTTCGCATGCAGGTGATTGGGTCCACCTGTTGCTGATTTGCTGCCCATTTACCTCAGCTCCACTGATTGGCTGCCGCCAGGAGAAAGCCAGCATATAAAACCAGCACTGCCTTTCAACAAATTTTTGGAGAGAGAGAGAAAGCACAGGGACCTCTTGTCTCCAGCCCCAATAACACACCTCCGAACAAAAATTTTTTTTTAACTTTTTATTCAATCATAAAAAAAAAATAGCTTCAGGAGGAGGCAAAGGCCAACACAACAAACAAAAAGATTTCTAACTCAGTTTTAACCATAACTTACCTATACATAAACCAAAAGAAAATAAACAACAAAATGAACTTCTCCTTGACTATCCAAATAACCAGGAGAAAAGCAATTAAAGAAAAAGGCACCCACCTCCCTACAAGTTTCCTTACAAAATACTTAAATTCTAAACAAACTCACAAGTCTCCAACTAAACCCACAGTAGCACCAATGGTTAGCACTTAATAACAGACAAAGTTATCTGGAGCCAGAGAAAAGCAGTCCGTGTGGCAGGTTACAATCTGCAACCCTCTCCCTCACCCTCACCCTCACCCTCACCCTCACCCTCACCCTCACCCTCCTGGCGGCAGCCAATCAGTGGAACTGAGGTAAATGGGCAGCAAATCAACAACAGGAGGACCCAATCACCTGCATGCGAATGGTAGCAGTAGACAAGGAGAAAAAACAAACAAACAAACCACCACAAAGCGCATAGAACAAATAAAATACGTCTCAGGACGTAACACCCCCACCATTAAATTTTACAACCCACGGATTGTAAAACAAAACTACTCATAAAACTCCAATAGTAGTGCTACTCAGTCATAGATTTTTATTGTTTTGTTTTAACCAACCCAGTTAAGTCTCCACATCTGTAGTCCTATTAAAAGTAGGCCTACCAAAATTGGCGGATCTTGTGCCACAGGTTTAGGGTGCGCTGGATGGCACGCACATACATTAATGGCCATCTGTTGTTCTCCAGGCGCTTGTTGATGACAGGTGCATGATACCAGCCTCAGATCTGTAACACAGCTCAGCTTCCTAATTATGTCAGTTTCATCACAAAATACAAATGATTATAGCAAGATATAAAAGTGAAGGAACATCATGAAAAAACAGTATAGCTTAATTTATAATGAAAATAATGTCTCATTATTGTAACTCACATGCCGCTTAAACTGAAGCGAATACAGCGATCTGTCACGCCACATTGTTTTATATATTGTTTGTATTTCGCTATAAAACTGACAGATTTTGAAAGCTGAGACTTTGGAATATCTCCCGGTGCTCCCAATCCGGACCATTTGCATGCGCTAGGCTAGAATATACTCTCAAAATATTATAACTTTAATCTTTATTCTCGAAACATTTTGACTTTATTCTCGAAGTATTTCGACTTTATTCTCGTAATTTAAATGTTATTCTCGAAATATTACGACTTTAATCTCGTAATCTTAGATTTGTATTTTATTTTTTTAACTGGCACTAAAACACCGTCGTACATTTAAAACAAAGCCTGCAGAAAATGTGTTCAGTTTGTGCTCTTAACAAGAGTATCTTGAGTTTAATTTAGATGCCATTTATTTCCACTTACAATTGTTCTTATATCCAAGAGAAGTAAAAAAAAACACTGCAACTGTGTTTTATATTCTTTAATGTTCCAGAATACTCATCCAACAAAGGTTTAAAGGGGTAAATAAAAAAAGTTACAAAATCTTTATAGAGCAAACGTAACAATTATTTGTTACAAATAAAATGAGCAATAATATGTTCAAGTTTCATATATTTCAAATGTTTCCCATTGTTAATAATTTCACAATTTAATACCCCGCTTTAATCTACTTTCACACGGTAAAAAGTGTTAATCCGCAATTGTTACCTCAAAGAGCTATTTCTACCTGATTTAAACCATAAATAGTTTTGATGACATCTCCAGTGATGTTATATATTATAATGCAGCGTATAGCTCATATAGCTGTAAGACAGAGCAACAATTGAAAGCTTGTGTTAATCATGACTACACTTCAACAAAATTATTTTTATGATTTATCACAGCTTTCTTTTGTCAAATAAACTTAGTTTAACTAATATTTTACAGTGCACAACTTTGAAAGACATCTAATAGTGTAAAGCTATTTTCACTATTTTTGTTGAATGGTTAGGCTTTAGCTGTACAGATCTGAGGCTGGTATCATGCACCTGTCATCAACAAGCGCCTGGAGAACAACAGATGGCCATTAATGTATGTGTGTGCCATCCAGCGCACCCTAAACCTGTGGCACAAGATGCTCCGAGGATTCACGGCATGCAGCATCTTTGGCCTCCGCTACATTCGGCAGCCTGATATAACGCAGCATTATTGTTTCTTTAATAGATGTGCATACAGCTTATATACATCGATTTGACTAGCTCCTGGTTTACTCATTTAAAAATAAACTATGTATGGAAATGACTCAAGGGCAGGTTTTTCACAGAATCACTTTACAGCAGGGTGTTCAAACTCTTTTTCGATGAGAAACCCTTTGTCAACCATTAGAGCGTCTCCCTTGTTCAAGTAGTTGTGTTCTGTAGAAAGTTGCTTTTATGAACTATTCCCTTGTCAGACAAGGATCCAGTAAACAAAGCTGAGGAAAACATGACAGCACCACGTGCATCACATGCCATTAATGATTTTAAAGTGTTGGTGTACTTGTAGTTTGAGGAAGTTTGGCTTTGCAGCAGCAATGAACTTGGCTTCCCAATCACGTCCGGTGCAGTCACGTATGGCCACAGTTGTAGGAAAGTCATTTTTATATTCATCTGGCACTTGAGGACGTATGCCATCTCTGTGTGGCCATACAGGGCGTTCCCCAAGTACACATGCAGTCAACCCATGAGTTAAACAGAGTACTGCACTACGTTCAGATGTGTGAACTCTGAAACACAGATCCTTCACCTCAAAGTTTTGTCACAACTTCATAAGAACTAGCAATAGTTGGTGGCGTAGTGGCATTTCATTCATTTCATTTTACTGATTTATTCATATTAAATTCAGTTAAATATTGTATAATATCAGGTGTAATCAGCAAACTGGGCGAAACGGCCCTCAGATCTTTACAAAGGCTTCGTAGGACCTCAATATCAGGAGCAGTATGTGTCCTGATATGCTTTTATATTCTCAAAGTGACCGTAGCCACTGACTTCTATTCTATGAATCACCAAATCACCTTCTTTACTGCTCTACTGAAGAAACTAAGAGCAGAACATTTTCTTTTTGGCTGAACTATGTCTTTAAGAACTGGGTCTAGTGTGTT